GATAATTTTTAATGATTTTAAAGTTTCAGGGGATTTTTAAGGATAATTTTAATTGATCGGCCTGTTTAAATATTTCTTTTTAATTCGGCTTTTAATTATTGTATTTGTATTGTAGTTTTTATGAGGCTGTTAGCCGCCCTGAGTCCCATGAGGAGAAGGGCGGGGTATAAATTAAATTATAAATAAATAAATAAATATGAGAAACTGGGACTGTTCTGGGATGGCCCAAATTAATAGGGCTGTGAAGGATGCATAGGCACAAATGCTGCACATTACGTAAATTGAAAAAAATATAGCAATCAACTTCAAAATTAAAGGAATACAGTTGTACTGCATGCATAGCGTACACTTATTTACATTTGGTTTCTAATTTCCAACTGACCTCACGCAGGCCGGATAGGGACAATCAAAGGGCCCAAGAGCCATACAATATCCAGGTCTGGTCTAAAAGCTATCAGCCCAGGATTCTTTACTTAATAGGTTAACTTTTGCAACTTTTTACTATTTGAATAGTAAGTTCTTTGGGGTGAAGAACAAAATTTAATTTGTATTTGCAATGTCCAATCTAAATCTAAAATCCTGTAGAAGTGGAATGTTCAGGAATAATAAAAAAATATAAGTTTATATTGCAATTTGAAATATAGTGCAATTTGCCTCAAATTAGATGAAATACAATCCTGTAGGCCTGTTTGATTTGGTAACTGTTCTCTCTTATTTCCCCTATTATTGTTAAGAATGTGACAAGATAAATCACACAGATCTGCTTTGTCTGATATCTTCATGGATAGGGCCACTGGTATTTTGTTCACAAAATATCCAATACTTATAGCTTAGAAACAATATGTAGCATCTCACACAATTCTCTTCCATACCAAGTCTGTAAGTATTTCCAGCCATCTTTATAAAGATTATCTCCTTGATTTGACATATTTTTCAACTTTTTAACAATGATGTGAATCAGTAACATGCTGCTTTCCAAATGCGTTCAAGGGCATTCTGCTAAAAGTAGGGAAATCAAAATGCGGGTGGCCTAGTTACAATATTACAGCTTCAGGTGACAGAGACAGAGAAAGCAAGCACAGCTGAACAATTAGGAAATACAGCATCTGGAACCATTTTATGCCTCATCTATCAATCTGCTTTATGGGACTAGAGAATTAACATTTCAAACCACACCTCATTGCTTCATGACCGATAAATCCCAAAATTGTGATCGTTACTTCACCCCAAAGCATTTCAGATGGACATCTGCAGAGGTCACATTGAATAATCACTTTCCAATGTCTTTACATTAAAAAGTTGTAATAAAATCTTCTATGTAATGAAGTTAGCAAAAACGGTAGGAGCTGCTCCAATATAAACACCTATTATCAGGCCTCTGAAGTCTTTTAAATGCATTTTTCAGTGACAGCTCAGGTCAATGAGACGATAACGTGAAATATGTAAGATAAATGCAGAAGAGGGTTGGTTGCTTTTGTTAGAACATTTATATAAATCAGCCATGGTGTTTTGTACTTTTTGTGCTTTTCAACTGAAGAAATTCAAAATTGCTAATGAAGTATCCCATAAATTCTTACCTTGTGATCCTACAGTTAGCAGTTGAGAATTATTTGTCTAGGCACAGTGCTCCAGTCAATACACAGTATCTTCACTGCTATTTAATGATAATTTTACACTAGGTGTCGGCATCTACATTTAATAAATAAATGCATTCTAGCAAACTTCATATTTCTCTGCCACACAGTATTTGGCTATTTAAGCTTTAAAAATGTATATGTATTAGCTAGTTTTGATGTCTATATGCTGCTCCCATGTGCTCTACATTATTATGTGTGCTGTCATCACAAGGACATTGTATTACCTATGTACAAATCATACAACCCTTGTCCTGTGTGGTTTCACAGATGTTTTTAAATCTCTCACATTATGTAATTTATGCCCTAAATTTAATTAACTATAATACAAAATGACTGTATAAAAAAGTTCAATTTCCACACTAAAAATGGAATGGAATGAGGGGTGGAAAATGAAGAATGAAATTATAAGAAGGGATTCACTAGTTTTCAGTATCGTAATCTATTAGAGAGAAGTAAAAGTATGAATTGTTTCAATACGGTAAGAAATATTTGAGTTACTCTTCTTAAAGTCTATTATATATGCACATCAGTACGTTTTTCAATTTTGGAAATTGTGCAAGTATGAGATTTGTAAAGGTATATGCTACCACATCCAATTCATTGAGAATCAGAAAGGAAATTATTTCTGCAGTTAATAGCTACAAAGGTCTACAGCGTAAATCCCTGATCAAGGGGTAGTAGAAGTATGGAATTCTAAACAAAGAATTAATTAGGTATCATTGAGTCAAGTTCAAATCTCAGTGGCAGCATAGTCCAATGTTTGCTATTTTCCTAGGAATCAATGCTAAGGACATTCTTCTAATATCTAGTCCAAGGGTAGGCAACCTTGGCTCTTTTATGACTCGTGAACTTCAACTCCCAGAATTCCTCAGCCAGCATGGCTAGCTCAGGAAATCTGGGAGTTGAAGTCCACGAGTCATAAAAACCAAGGTTGCCTACCCCTGATCTAGTCCATCTACCATATCTGTGGCCTCTCCCTTCTACTTCCATTAACTTCGCCAAATATCATGTTTTCTAGTCTATCATTCTGGGTGCAGGCATAATTAATACCTCCTTTGTCTCCTAGCATTTAAATTGAAGACTGAATGCAAGAAGGCAGATTCTGTTACTTATTTACAGTTTTTGTTACCCACCCACGTCCATAGATTTTGGGTGGCATGAAATAGAAACACAATAATAAAAAAATATAAAAAGACAAAAGTATATACACATGTGTGTGTGCGTGTGCACACACACACAAGAGACCTGATCTGCTGATCCTGTTTATTCTCACTACTTGCAGCTTGTAATTCCTTTGCTGGAAGGTAAACTCATTTTTCCAATTGAAATACACAAAGAGAATACAAGCCTGCAAATATGTCTTCCTCCCAAATGCAGGAACGACGTTTCTTAAGAGTAGCCAAGATTCTTGGCTGCCTGAACAAGCTGGTTCATCCAGTAGAGCAGCATCTTTATATCACAAATTTGTGAAATGTGAAATGTTGGAAAGAAAATTTATTATTTACTTCCAGAGTCCACATATTCATGATATTATTCCTAAAAAATGGTAATTTCTCCTCAAGCTTGTTAGATATCCTTGGATAACACATCAGCCTTAGTTTCCAATCTGAGAAAATAATAAAATGCATAAATGTTTTTCTTCCATTCAGTTGTACCAGATTCTTGGAGACCCTGCATTTTCTTAACAAGGTTCTTCAGAAATGGTTTGCCACTGCCTCTATCCTATGGCTAAGAGAAAGTAACTGGCGCAAGGTCAGCCAGCTGGCTTTGTGCTTAAGGGGGACTAGTTTCCCAGCTTTTAGTCTGATGCCTTAACCACTACAATATGTATATAATACTTGATAATTTTGTGAGGATAGGCATTATAATATCCTATGAGGAGTTCCAACATAGCTAGTGGGATTTACCTCGAAGGAATAGATCATAGGATTACAAATCAAGAGTACTATTGAAGGTAAACATTGTGTAAAACTTAACATTTTTACTGGAGTTGGCTTCTCCTTAGGTGTGCAGCACAAATGATTCATGTCTCATTGCACTGAAATCAAAGTCTCCCAAAGCAAACTCAAGACATCAAAACTTTACTCCATTCTCTTTAAAATATTCTCAACTGTGTGAGAAAGGAAGAAGTTTAAAAATAAAACGGTCACAATTGATTAACAATAGAAGGATTAGCCAAGCCCTGCAGGTAGGCACTAGATTCCAGGAGGCTTGGCTAGAAGACACACTTAACAAGACAAAAGGATGGCAGAGAGAAGTTCTGAACAATGTAACTGAGGGGGAGGGATGATGTATTCTGGCTAGGCGGATNGGATGGGGGCGTCGCGATAGGAGTGTATATAATGTTGTGAGTTTGAATATTTTGGTGTGGTCTCTGGGTTTAGAACTTCCTGTTGAAGTCTCTCACCAGGATCCACCGCGCTTTGCAAACCGCTTTTCTATTTTCTGCAGAATAAACTCTTTTTCTTACCAATCCAATTTTGTTGGTATTTTAATCACGTTTCCAACAACTGTAACAAAGACTGTTTTCCATTGTTTTGTCTCTCCTATGAGTTTCTGCCATGGCTTTGCTTGTATTCTTAAGTTCGATATTGTTGAGCTTTTATTTGGATGCTGACCACGGAGCATCTCGGGCTGGATGGGATATCAATGTATTATATAATACATATTTAATAAAAGGATTAAGAGACCTTTGGCCTGTTTCCCCACCCTTACTCAAGCACAAGGTAACTTTATAAACCACAGTATCTGGAACATAGATAGCTCTCCACAACTTGAAGTTGGTTTGTGAACGTAAGGTAAATTTGTCAGTTACTGAATTTCCGGCTCCCTAGAGCTGGTCCAAAGGAAAACAGGATAACAATGGTTAGTTAGACCATACTGGGAAATTTATATCTAGTTCTATTATGTGCAAGCTAAATTGGAGCTGTCCTGAGCTCAATATCTGACTCTCGGAGGGCAAACTTTTTGAGGCCCAGCTAGACTGTCTTGCCCTCCTTTCCGCAAGATGAAGAAAGCAAACTCTCGATGCGAGACCCCCCCGGCCAGGGTTACAAGGAAAACATTCCCCCTTCCTCCTTAAGCGGAACCTTACGATAGAGGCGCGGCGTCCGAGGGGAGGATATTGAGCGTCGGCCCAACACCCACGCGACGCCTGCCGGGAATGGCCGTTTCCTCCACTCGAGGATTTTCGCGCGCTGCTCCCCTCCCCCTCCGGCGCACGCCTTTTACGCGCCTCGATCCTTTCCGTCGCACCGGTGCGGAGAAGGTAGCGGCGTCCGAAGGACTGACACGGAAGGTCACCTCGAGGCTTTCTTTCGCTTTCCATTCAGTTCGGTGGCGGGGTATTTCTGCAGGAGCGTTTTGGCCAGCGGGTTGGAGAGGGTGCCTGGGCTTTCCTGCTTCGCGCCGCTGTTCACAGCCTTTGGGAGCAGCCGAGAAGTCCTGAAAGCTTTGGGAAAAAGAAGGTGACTGCTCCATTTCCCCTCGTGTTTTCGGGGGAGGGGTGAAATAATGATCTTTTCTTCCCCCGTCGTCTCCATGTGCCCCGCTTGGCTCTTGTTTTATTAAATAGGGTTGTGCGGAGTCCCAGTTTTGTTGGTTAGTACCACGCCTAATCATTAACTTGGTTTTCCCCGCCTACTCATAAGCCCGTCCTAAAGTTGTCTGCAAAGACTGAATTAAAACTGTTCGTAGATTTTCTCTAAAGTCTAGGGTGCACTGCGTTGTCTTACACCTCACCTATAACCCAGAAGCGAAGAGCCAGTCTTGACTCTTTAACTTTTCCCAACCGCTCCCTCTTCATGTTGATACTAATTCCTATGCAGTTGTAGCATTGAGGTCAGTTGCCAGACAGATAGGTACGATGCTCCTTTTCGGGTGCTGATTCGTAAAATGGATAGGGTTTGCCACCATGAGTGAAAATGAAAACAATTCAGAGAAAGGCGAAGCAAAGCCAACGTCTTTAGAAAATGGTTGGATAGCTGGGTAGAATGGTTGCTTTCAGGAAATAGAGAGATAACTTGGCTTGATAGCATCATATGGTAATGTTTTAAGCAAGCACTTTAAGCTGACAATAGCATACTCCTACCTTTTTCAAGCTTCTAAGGAGAAAGTTGTGAAACAATAAAGAACCTTGATGTATGGCAGATTGCATGTTTGGCCTGCCAGACTTGCAGGATGTTGGAATAAGGTCTGCAGGTAACTGGGTAAAGAATTTGCACTCTGAAGCAGGCTGGAAGAATAATTAGATCATATAAATGAGATTCTTTCTGTCCATGGTCTTTGTATGGCAGTTTTGGTTAAAAAATTAAGAATCTTCCCTTTAGCAAACGTATATTTGACAGATAGACAGATAGTATATAAGGTTGTCCCACTCATAAATTGTGACTCTGGACAGTGCACATCATACAAAATAAAGACAAAATTAATGGATAGAAAGAAGACCAAATAAACATATAGCTGAAACTGTATATGCTCTCACAACAGAACAAGTTCATCTAACCACTTAATCCTATATATAACAAAAAGCCAGGTTTTTATGGCTCTGTGAAAGGTCAGGGACATTTACCTCAAAAGAAGCTTGTTCCAAAATTTATAACTCCTTCATACAGCCTCAGCCCATTGCTGATATGCTGCATACAAGGGAGGCCTTCCTTATAGTCTGCTGGTCATATTTGATAAGCTGCTTCCCTGAATGTAGTTTTGAAACTCTTTTTGAGGGAGAATAAGAAATTGGGAAACTAACTAAAATGATAAGAAATGGCACATTTTAGAGTACACATGGAAAGAAAAAGTATGCCCTGTTATTTTGCATTTGCTGTAGTTTGGAAGAAATAAAACCAAATGTTTTACTTGTTATGGGTTTGGCTGAAACTTGTTCCACAGTGCTACTAGAGTGATTTTATGGTGCAGAGTGAGGTTGGTGTGCATCATACACAGCCAGATACCCATTTGACCTCTGTGCTAGTCTACTATGCCCCAAGCTTAGTTTTGATTTACTTAATTTTAGTATGTGTGTACTACTGTGTTATAGAAATTCTAGGTAGTTTGCAATAATAAGGATAAAATGCAATGAAAGTTAATGAATACAGATTAAAAAAAGAACTTGTTCTGATCTTTAGCCTACTCCAAAAACTAAACTGCCCATGTCTTGCTTTATATCCAGCCAAACATACCTGATAATGAAGCCCAGTATCTTACCAACCTTTTTCTCTGGTCCAACTTGTCAAATCAGCTAATAGCAATCTAATAGTATCTTCCTTCCTTCCCCCTGCCCCTCTGTATTCTTTTCCCTGCTTCCCTTCAGCTGCAAGGGCCAGTGAATTGGTCTATGTGCCTATTCCTTAATGCAACTGTTTTAGCAATAAGGATTAGAGTTCCAGAGTGGCCAGTACCAATAGCCAATGTATTGCCCCAGTCTCCCATTGAAAAACCAGCTGTGCTGTGTATGGAATATTCTGCACATTCATAGTATGTTTAAATCTAGTATTTTAAGTCAGTTTGTAAAACTGATCCTTACTGGTTTTGACTACTATCAAGTGAGTTGCTAATAACAAATAAAGGCATGTATGATGCTTCCTCTGAATATTGTTTTCCAGTTAATATGTTCCATTTAAAAAAAATGCTTTCCCTTTTTGATTTGGTCATTGAGAAATATTGAGTGATAACAAATTATCCATTTCTTTATCTCTACAAGGAACGGAATTAACATCCATCTTGTGTACGAAATCTCTTATATGTGAAGTCTCACTCTTCTTACATATGAAAAAAATCTTAACCATCTTGTGTATGAATTAGCAGGAGGTTGGTAATGTATCAAGTATATTAATATATACCATGTACCAAAAATTACAACACTTCAAAGCTTCCTTTCTAAGAATGCACACTGATTTTCTTTCCTCCATTATTTGGTATAGTGAAACGCGCACAATGGTACATGCTGAAACATTTTCTCGTCCTCTAACTCGGAATGAAGTTGTTGGTTTAATTTTCCGCTTAACAATATTTGGTGCTGTGACCTATTTTACAATTAAATGGATGGTAGATGCAATTGATCCAACAAGGAAGCAAAAAGTAGAAGCTCAAAAACAGGTAATAAAATACTTTAAATATAAATGTTATATAAATAAGGAACAGAAAGCTAACATTATTATTGAGCCGCTGAGTTCAGAATGAGAAACCAATGGATTAAGTTTGCATTTCGAACAAGCCTTTTCATTTGTTTACTTGCCAGCTTGCTAACCTTGCTCAGCATCCTCACCTTATGACTCGGGTTGTGCAACTGAATAAAAACAAATTTCACAAGGTATAAAAATAATCAAATAATGAATTAAAGATACAACAAATATATACATGCATAGAAGAAATTCAGTTCACACATTTTTAAAAATTTGTCAAGTAGACGCTTGCCAAATAACATAGTTCAAGTTACAAGCCATGACTTTGTGAATAACATATGGAAAATTTGGGCACCCAAAAATTCCTCTTAAAATATCAATCCCTCAACCCAGAAAATAGACATAATCACAAGCTTTTCTTTCTTTCAGAGAGAGTTAAATTACTGGGTTGCTGCTCTCTCTGCATTAGTCCTCAAGCTACTGCAGTGGGGGAGAAATAAATATCATTCTTTAGCCCCTGAAAAGCTGTCCTTTCATGAAATAGAGAAATGTTATTGAACTCAGTGGTGTTGACTTCTGAGTAGACCTGTATAAAATTATGCTTTAAAGCTAACACAATCTTTTGTTCATAATTCTGGTAAAGTTCTAAAATAATAGAACCAAGCTATTGTTTTAAGCAGCATGTGTGATCTACATTAATAAACAAATTGAAAGACCTCCCTGTACCCTTTGCATGGAAATAATTGTTATATTGAGATAGAATGCCTTGAAAAACTACATCTCCCTCTACTAGCTTTTTTTTTTTTTGTATATGAAATTAATGAAGACTCACTAGGGCCTGTTGTTTTACAAAACCCACTTATAGAATGTTGCCTGTGGAAATGTTCTTTGTTTTTTCATCACAGATCTTTATATCTAGAGAATAATTTTCTCTTCCCCGGTAATGAGTATATCATTCTGAAAGTTGTTTGCATATTTTGAAAAAGTTTCTAAGATGCTGTCCACATAACTGCGTCTCTTAGCAATGACAGCCTCCAATAACATCGTAAAGTGAAGCCTTTACATTATAGTGCTTGCTGGCTTCTCTATTGACTTTGCTTGTAGAAAGCCAGCAGGGAACATATGAAATCATGATTATGTGATGTAAAGAATGTAAAGGGCCAGTTGTAAGTGTTCCTCATTCAGCACCACCGTATCTTTGAATATTCGCTGAATGAACAAATGAAGGTAATCTAAGGACTACCCATAATGTTTATGAATTATGGTTCAAGTAGCTATGCTAAAATGGAACATTCTCTATTGTTGAAAAGGTATTAAGGCAAAGATTAAAATGCATTTGAATAACCTTTGATTATCCTGGAGAGACACCCTGAAGTATTGTTATTAACAACAAGCTGGCTTTATTTTCAGTAAAGAGATGGTACATTCAAACAAATGAAAATGGGGGCATTCTTTTTTCAGATTCCTAATTCACAATTAACAGAATATTCGCATTCCTTAATAGCAGCCTTCCCCTTTCTAACATTATTTGAAAAGATCAAATGAGGCCATATTGCTGAACTCTGGCTCTTCTATAACAGGCAGAAAAGTTGATGAAGCAAATAGGTGTGAAAAATGTTAAGCTTTCTGAATATGAGATGAGCATTGCTGCACATCTGGTGGATCCTCTTAGTATGCATGTAAGTGTTATTTCTCTTATTCTTATGTTTCAGGACAAAATGTTCATGTGGATACACATGTATTCATAGTGGAACTGTATTTTAATTGAATTTTCTTACTTTCTGGAGTATATGGACATTGTGAGACAGACGTGTTTCAGCTTTTTATTCCAAGTAGTACAGTTATACAGGTCCAAACTTCCGGGACCAATTTCTTTTTTCCCATTCTCTCAATATAGACAGCATCTTAATAAGTTAATGATAGTGCTAGTAATCCCACACACAATTCAAAAACCTGAAATATTTGATAGAACTAATACATAATGACTATTTTCAGATATTGGAGCAAAAAAAAAAAAACTCCCTATGCATCTGCAGCTAAGCATGGTATGAGATAGGGAACAAAATTCTGTAATGACTGTTTTTACATTCAATAAATATCAGAATTGATCATTATCCAATTTTAACTTTTTCTTGACTAATATGCATGATTATGGACTTTTTTTAATGTGGTAACTTATTTTAACATTGCATCAAGAGTGTTACTTCAGTGAATTTATGCAGTTTTACATGAAGTTAAAAATTGGTGCTTGTTAAAAATAGTATTCAAAGTTCTCTTTGTACACTTAAAGACTGAGTTATGGTAATTTCATCTTGTTCGTAGGTTAACTCATTGTATGTTGTATCACGCTATATCATGCTCAAATAAGATTATTTCAAGCGCTGGCTGTAAGCACCAAGCACTCAGGTACCTAAAAATTAGCACACTGAAAATATCAGTATGGTGTTTCTTTGGGGAAAAAACCTTATATTGTTGTAATTAGGCATATTGCAAATTTATGTGCAATATAAATTTTTGTTTGTTTGTTTTTGCATGCCCATCTCAAGATTGAAATCTCATAGGCAAGATTGCAAAACAGCCATTCACTTAATATCTATCCAGTTTAACCCCAAGAGTGCCTGGAGAAAGGAAAGGTCCAAGATGCCTTCTTATGACCTGACCATTAGTGATCCCTCTACCAAACCACCTGGTTTTGACCTTCCTTGTTTTGTCTGGTTGAAATTGAATAGAATTAGGTGTGATATTGGAAGAAGTGCTTTCAGCCCTATATCAGTGGAAATGGAAAGATTCCCCTTGTTGCAGTTATGGTGCTGACAGGCAGACTGTAAAACATATTGTGCAAGTTTGCCCACGACATCCAGTTATGAGGCCACTGCCATAACCCCATAGAAGTTTTACTTATAATTACCTGGACTGTGTTTATGTTTACTTCTCTTCCGTCATGTTCTCATATGCTAAATAATGCTGCTACATATAAAGCATTTTACATTCTTGGATGTACTGTAGATATAGTATAAAAATATCTTAGAGTTTTCATTTCTATGTATAATACTTATCAATATTAAAAGAGCAGGTAGGATATTAAAACTAGGTTGTTTATTATTAATGGTAAATTTGTACTAGTAAGAAGACTTATTTATTAGTGCTCTCCTGCCATACTGCTTAAGGCCAACATCATCTCTATTTCTTAGATCAAGGATCAAAATACTTTTCTTCAGAATCAGTAAAAAAGCAAAAATAATCACATGGTATACAGTGAGGAGAAAAACTATTTGACCCCCTGCTGATTTTGTACGTTTGCCCACTGACAAAGAAATGATCAGTCTATAATTTTAATGGTAGGTTTATTTTAACAATGAGAGATGAATAATAACAAATGCATTTTTCTGGATATTTTTGTTATTCTGTCTCTCACTGTTAAAATAAACCTACCATTAAAATTATAGACTAATCATTTTGTTGTCAGTTGGCAAATGTACAACATCAGCAGGGGATCAAATATTTTTTCCCCTCATTGTATTATATAAATGCATTCAAATCTCAAGACTAACGTAACTTAACCCAGCATCAAGAGAGTAAAGTCACAATCTCTGGGATATATTTTGTTTTATTTTTCTTGTTTGGTGAGATATATGGTTAATATACAAGTGGCTTTAAGATTCAATATAACTTTCATCTTTATCCCTAATTTGAGATTATAGCTGTTTAACTGATGCCAGCTCAGTAATTTTTTTAATCTTATATTTGTGCTTTAGGTAACATGGAATGATATCGCAGGCTTAGATGACGTTATTACAGACCTGAAGGACACAGTCATTTTGCCAATCAGAAAAAAACATCTATTTCAAAACTCAAGACTTCTGCAACCACCAAAAGGTAATATGAAGAAGTCCAAATTATCTTTTTAAAAGAAAACCTTACCATAATAGAATTCCTCAAGGACAAAAGCTCAAGTTGTATAAAAAAAAATCCAGTTTTACAAAAAAAACTTAGAAAGATCATTGAACTTGTCCCATTTATAATAAACTTCCATGGAAGATTAATTTAGACATGGAGAAAGTAGAGATTTTCTTCCAAATCATTCATTCCAGCTAAATGTATACATTTAAGTATATGTAGTTTTGTAATATTGCTTAATATTTCATTCTTCAATTTAGAATAAAATTTATAGGATGGCTTAAAGGGTAGCAATATAAAATAAGTAGCAAATGACGGTGTAGAACCTTAAAATAATTTCAGCATGAATAAAATATTTAATTTGGGTAAATAAGATCCTTCTCTGCATATCCTGTGTATCTTTATACAGGAGGAAATTCTACTAAGCTGTGCCTAGCTCAAAATTCAGAATCAGTACATTTTCACCACATGAGTATTTTTGTGCCTATATAGCTTATTTCTGTTCCTCTGAGATTGTGCTCATTGTAATAAATTAATGGGCAGATAAATGTCAGGATTTTATGGCATAGGAGAGCAGCTTGTAAACAATAATGCTGATGTGGAGACTTTGCAAAGAGTTTTATTAACCGCAGCATGTATAAAATACAGATATTATATTTTCCCATGTAGAATGGCAATAAATTAATTAACAATGTGTTTGGGTTTTCAGGAGTGCTGCTATATGGCCCTCCAGGTTGTGGTAAAACCTTGATTGCTAAAGCTACAGCAAAGGAAGCTGGTTGCCGTTTTATTAATCTTCAGCCCTCAACATTAACAGATAAATGGTATGGCGAATCCCAGAAGCTGGCAGCGGCTGTTTTTTCTCTTGCTATAAAACTTCAACCCTCTATCATCTTTATTGATGAAATAGGTAAAGTGAAATTTTCTACATATTTGAAAATATTACATTCACATTTTTAAAACTTTCATAGTTTGCTCATGTGAGATCAATAGTATTTAGAATTATCAGTAGCAAAACAATAGGCATCTTTATAGGATCTTTTGGGGTTTTTTTAAGGGAGGACACCGTTTAATTTGAAACAGCAGTGTTATATTGCTATAATTTTATATATATATTTAATATTTAAAGAAAAAATAAAGACCTTTTCTTTGTCTATTTGGATTCATGTAATGGGTACAGCAGCATCATTTTCTCATCCCTTCAGAATTAGCATATATCCACCATGAAATTCAAAATCTTGGGTTAGATATATAGATATTTTTTTAAAAACACATTTATTTTATCCCATTTTTATTATTTTTATAAATAACTTGGCAGTGAACATACATAATGCTTCCCCCTCCTATTTCCCACAACAACAACTGTGTGAGGTGGGTTGGGCTGAAAGAGTCTGGCCCAAAGTCACCCTGTTAGCTTTCATGCCTAAGAGGGGGCTAGAATTCACGGTCTCCTGGTTTCAAGGCCATCACCCTAACCACTACACCAGACTGACTCTACATTTAGCATGGGCACGTTTAGTTTTTAACTCAGATAACATGTAAAGTTAGATGTGATACTTATTGCTTAAATCCCAGTAATATAATACTTAACTAAAAGGCATATCACTGGGAAAAGCCTAATTCTATAACCAAAAAAAAGAGGTTTCTTTCTCATTACAGTTAATATAAAACAACAGTCCCTAACCTTTGCGGCTTGGTGGTCTTGCTGGGGGAGGGGGAGAGGAGAACTGGGCTGTGGAGCAGCGTGCAGGCGTGCATGAGTAGTGGGCCAGCGTGCACACACATGATTGCCCGCTGGACCGCCCCTCGCGCAAGTTGAGCTTTGCGTGCGCTCCGGCCAGCCATTCACGTGGCCCAATTCCAAATAGGCCATGGCCTGGTAGTGGGCTATGCCCCAGAGGTTGGGGACCCCTGGTATAAAAAGTCTGTCCCCTTTCATATTATCTTTTAATTTTCTTCTTAAGTGTACATTAACAACTAATATCTGTTCCTAGCTGGATTCCTTGGGTGAGTGATGAGATCAGATATATCTCAGCTGGAATACATGCATATATATCTTCAGATATTACATATTGCTTAAATCAGACTGACTCTTCCTGGTCTTCATGAACACTAACAGGGATGGGGCCAGCCCTTACCTCAGGCTCAGGATGTCCCTGAGGAAGGAGACAAGAACTGCACCCAGCCTTACCTTTTGTTTTCATCAGATGAGCAAGTTCCACTTTGAGTGGACACTTCTGCAAATACCCAAGTTCTATGAAATAATACTGGATAGTGGTTTCAAAACAAGCCAGCCGTGAAGCTGTATTTTAAGGTAGATTTCCAGATGCTGTGAACCCATCCTCCAACTCTTTCATGTTATACCAATTTTGTTGTTGTTAGTTGCGAAGTCATGTCCAACCCATCGCGACCCCATGGACAATGTTCCTCCAGGCCTTCCTGTCCTCTACCATCTTCATACCAATTTTACACAACTTTATTTAGGGATTTTATACATTTGCATACTTTGTTTTGACAAAGGATTTTTATTGATTTATTTTCAATAAAGAGATGGGCTATAATAAGGATATTACTGTTTGGGGGGGGAGTAGATGTCATGCTTCTCAGTAGATATATGACATTTATTACTTTAAATTGATGAGATTTTTATTTTAAGGAAGATCTAAAGCTGCAAATATTGTTATAAATCTTAAAAAAACAATAACAGCAATGTTCAGTAGGTATATTTTTATGATTTTGAATATTTGTATTGGCTAATAATAGAATTAGTTATGTTACTATATACAGAGACCACAGCGTGCCCAATGTTTTAGACTTTTTGTCTAAATAATACCTATTAACAGATACAAAAAATGCTTTTATCATAATGCCTCTAGTTGATATGTCCTGTTTTAAATATATAAAATATATAAAACAGGAGGAGCTGTTAACCAATCCAATTAAGGTATTACTAATTTATGTCTAAGGATCTTGAACTGTATTGTTGTTTAAGAATTGAAATTATCAAAACCAGGTCTCCAAGTTCAGCATTTTTTTTATAAGACTCCTAGAAACTGATAGACAATAGATAACCAACAACCAACTGAAAAAAGTGCATGGGGCATCCACCCTTCTTGGTTGCATCATAATCTGATTCTGGAAATTTCTTCCATTTACTAGAAGAGCCAAGAACTGTTGTTTCAGAAACCTAGTCCAGCACTCCTGTTAACCACATATGATGTTATCTTGCATATCATCTTATGTGTCCCCTATTTTCTCAGTTAATGCATGCACCTCGATTAATTCATTATGCAACACATACAACTTCATACTCTAGAAATACAAGTTCTACTCAAATCATTTTTTTTGTTTTGTTAAATTCAGATTCTTTTCTACGAAGTCGTTCGAGTTCTGATCATGAGGCCACAGCTATGATGAAAGCCCAATTCATGAGTCTCTGGGATGGTCTAGACACTGATTTTAATTGCCAAGTAAGTAGCAAATTATTTTTATTGATACATTCATGCAATGCTTATAAAAATGTACTTTTCATTGCTTCGATGCACAGTTGTAGGCATTTACGATCAAGCAGTGCAGCGAATAAAAAATGTCAGCTTGAGAAATGGAAGCAGAAAAAGATGGTTTATTCATTTATTCCTTTCCTTCAGGAGATCAATATACTCTACATAGTATTTCTTCCTTTAACTTTTTTCCACAAGAACAACCCTATGAGGTTATGCTGAGAGACCATATTGTCCAAAGTCACCCATGGCTAAGGGTTAGAACTTGGTCTCCTAGGTGCCAGTTCAACATTATAAGCCTACATCATACTGTGTAGCAGGAATTTGCAACTTTTTACAGACTAAGGTCTGCTGTCATATTTCATATTTTTAGTTTCGTATTCTTGCTTGGATTAGTTGTGCCCAGAAGAAAGTCTTGTCTTATTCTGGTTAAACCTACCTGATTCAGTTGAGATCAATATCTCTGTAGTTTCTCCAGTTAAGCACCTTGGCATGATTATTTTCTCACCACAAAACGGTGCAATTGGCTGAAAGTCACAGTGAAATAGGGAAAGAGACATCCAGCCAGCTTTTCAAAGAGAAGACGGATTGCAAACTACTTTTTAAAAACTTTTTCCACCCAATCTAATCTAGTGATAGGAAGCCTTAAATGGCAGTGAATTTATACATCTAAGAACCCTGTTTCTTTACTTCTAACCATTTCATGAGAAGTGCAGGTGCACTAAATAATAACTCCCTTTTCATTTGGGGAGTTTTTTCCATCTCTAGATGATGCCTCTGTATGTGTATACTCTCAAATAGCATGTAGAGCAGGGGTGTCAAACTGCCGGCCCGTGGGCCGGTTGCATCATACGGAGCTGCGCCCACCCCAGCTCCAGCAATGCAAAAAAGGTCGCGACGTGACGCGGCGAGTTTGACACCCGTGATGTAGAGTAATAAGTAACATTTCTGGACTACTTTGAACATGATACATTTTATTCTGTGGTCCAAATATTTATCCTATTTATTTTGTACATTGTCTACTACATACTGTACAGCATACAAAATAAAGATGCCTTAAATGATGGTCAAAAACTGTAGAAAAATCTTTAAAAAATAGAATAAGAGTATTCTCTTTTTCATGAATGAACAAGTTAACTTACATTTCAGTACTCTGCAGATTTTGAATTCTCTTGGTTTGAGAAAGGAGTAGGATAATTTTAAAATAATAGTGACATTTTTAATATTAAGCAAAAGGAGGTCTTTATTTTGGTTTGGAACTGCTTTTGTATGACTAAAACTCTTTAAATCTAATAATAGATTCTAATTGTTTGATGTTGTTCAAACAAGCTTTAGTTAAATTCAGGATGAATAAAAGTTCAATTTCTGTCACTATCAAATTAATTTGGAGGTGAAAATCTAGAGCTATAAACAATTGATCAACAGTTTCTTAAATCAGTTTTATTTCCATATGAAGATAGTAGCAACATTACTAATTTTGTACTCCGACATATTTTATATGCAGTTGTAATCATGTACTTTGGAGTCAGTATTTATAAACATCATTTTGTAATGCTTCTCAATTGTAAGTGGGCTTTTCTAGAGAAACTTAAAAACCCAGAGGTTTATTCAGATTCAGATATATTATGTGCTGATTATATTAATGGGGAAAACATTCTTTAAAAACTAGGGCCACTTGCTCGTGAAACATGATATGTCAATATTCATGTATTTCATCAAGAATAACTGTTCCTTGTCATACATTACATTTAGGTGATAGTGATGGGAGCTACCAATCGCCCTCAGGATCTTGACACTGCCATTATGAGAAGAATGCCTACAAGATTTCATATCAATCAACCTGTAAGTTGGTTAAAATGTTTGCCATTGCCTTCTTCCTAAAGAAAAAGTGACTGGCCCAAGATCATCCAACTTGCTTGGTGCCTAAGAAAGGACTCATGGTTTCCTAGTATCTTAATACTATGTCATACTAAGTTTCCAAGGTAGTTTATCACAAAGAAAAACAAAATATTTAGCCAAATGCACAAACACAAGCTACTTATGATGAAATGCTGTTTCATGGAGAGAACAAACAGGATTTCTTGAAAATGGCATACCAAAATTTGGGCAATTTACCTAGCATGTTCCCCTCCTATTTCTGTGCTATCCATATTTTCTTAAGGTGATAAGAGGTATCGTGGGTTGTTCCTTGATGATTTCACAGGGAAGAGAGTAATAATCCTGCATCTGAGCTACATGGGGGTTTAAAACTAAGACACTTCCGAAACCCACTATAGGTAGTCCTTGACTTACAACAGTTCATTTAGTGACCATTCAAAGTTACAACGGCACTGAACAAAGTGACTTATGGTGGCTTTTCACATTTATGAGCATTGCAGCATCCCCAGGGTCATGTGATCAAAATTCAGATGCTTGGCAACTGGTTCATATTTATGACGGTTGCAGTGTCCTGGGGTCATGTGATCACCTTTTGTGACCTTTTGACAAAGTCAACGGGGAAGCCAGATTCACTTAACAACTGGGTTACTATCTTAACTGTAATGATTCACTTAACAACTGTGGCCAGAAAAATCATAAAATGAGGCAAAACTCACTTAACAAATGTCTCAGCAACATAAACGGGCTCAATTAGGGTCGTAAGTCGAGGACTACCTGTATTATGCAGTGAAGATGGGACCTAATAACTGTTATGTTTGAGATTGGAATTCCTGTCATGCCTGTGGAGTTTTGCTTGAGTTGTAAGTTTCATGCACTTTCCAAAAACCATTTAGAGCAGCGGTCCTCAACCTTTCTGGATCCATGGACTGGCAGTGGGAAGGGGGGCATTGATGGTTTTGCATGCACAACCTAGATTCTGAGAATGCGCAAATGAAGGTTTGCATGCCCGCTGCTTGTGCAGCCTGATTCCCAACAGGCTGAAGACTGATATCCGGTCCGCAAACGGGGGTTTGAGGACCCCTGTTTTAGAGGATATGACAAATCAGAAAGTTGTCATACCTGATTTCTCCAGAAAGCTGGAAATGGAGTTGGGGGGGGGGGATTTTCCAGACTGGATATTTAAAAGGGAAATTTTATAAAGCTTCAATTTTATTTTAGTAGTAAAATTATAACATTATTTAAGAGCAGCTACTGTATTTACCTCTTGACTCAATCAATTTCTTGCTCATCAGAAATTCATCGGCCTTGTCTGGAATAAGTTTTAAATTTTTTATTCAATTTTCTGTTCTTTATAATCTGTATTAAAATTGCTTGGTGGTATCTTGCTGTTTATTTTAACTTTTCAATTTGTATTTTGTTTGCCATTTATTTGTACTTAAGGAGGTTTTGGAAAGACTGTGTGTGTGTGTGTGTGTGTGTGTGTGTGTGTGCGCGCGCGCGTGTGTGTATGCTGAGAAATTAGCTGTATTTGGTTGTGTTTTTCTGGAAGCAGTTATTGCTGCTCCAGACTCAATTTCTGACTGACTTCTCCCAAATAACCTTCAACTACCTTCCATGAATCCCTGTTATCAAAGGATTTATTGTCTCAGGAGTGCTTCTTTCAGAAACAAAGAGGAGAGAATATAGATCCTGGGTGCTGTTGATGTGGGAGAATAATAACATTTGCTTGAGAAGTACTTGCATTTGATGATTGAAACTATCTTCGATCATCAGCCCCTTCTCTGGAAGATCCAGTGGTACGACAAGGAATCTATAGCAGAGTAGTATCAAGTTTTTAAAATGCATCATAATAATTGTAAGATTATCACTTTAAAAAGGTTGGATCATTATTATTATTTTATACCAATATCACCTTTCTTTTCATTTAAAGGCACTAAAACAGAGGGAAGCCATCTTAAAACTTATTTTGAAAAATGAAAATGTAAGTTGGTCATTTTTGCACTTAAAATAAATTATTTTCTATTCCTACAACTTGGTTGTAGACAAGTAGTTTGTGCCAGCTCTCATATCATGGAGGTTTTTGTCCTCTGTAATAACTCAATTAAGATAAAATTCTGGCTGTTTTATCCAAACCTGGATTTTAACAAAATTTTGCCGAATAACAATATATTTTTAGAAATCTTATTGCGTATTGCTAAAATGTTAATTTATTCCAATTTATTGCGCATCCATAATACTTACCATATTGCTAGACAACCTTCAAAAATATCACTAGAGACCTTTCATGTTATCCGCATATTATAGCAACTTTGGTTCAGTTTTTACCATCTGCTTACCATAATTTTTTGTATGTATTTACTCATTTTATATGGTCATCCATTCAACAAAGTGATTAACGATATGAAAAACTATAAAGGTAGTTCCCCACCTTACGACTGTTCATTTAATAATGGCTCAAAGTTACAATAGCCTTGGACAAAAAAACTTAAGACTTGCATTTGCTGTTATGGCCATTGTACCAATCCCCCAGTCAAAATTTGGGTGCTTGGCAACCGCTAGCATTTACAACCAGTTTCAGCATCCTGCAGTCACATGATCACAAAAGCTCATGTGCTCCACAATTGTAAAGGTGAGCTGGTTGCCAAGTGCCTGAAATATAGTCATGTGACCGGGGGGGGGCGTCATCGTTGTACAGCCATTGGAACTCTGCAACTGCGTTGTAAGTAGCTTTTGGAGGGGAGTCCATCGTATCTTGGAACAATCGCTTAGTTATCAATCATTAAGGATTACATATATTATCTCTTGTAAATAAAAACAACTTGCAGAACAATTATGCAAAATATCTAGTTTATCGCCAGTTGGGACATAAAAATTTATCAGAGCCATTTGACTATCGTTATTAGTAATTGCCAAAATTATAAGGTGCCCATCAATAACCAAAATGTCATGTTCAGATATAATATATGGAGATTTGTTAATTAATATAACGGTTCTGGTCATTTTTGAATTTCCATAAATAACTATCTGATAAATCAAAGTCCAAACCAAAGTATTTTTTTTAACAAAAGCATGACAAATTCTTTGATTCTATTTCAGTATATTCCTTATTGTTTATGTTAATTATATGGCTCTTGTATGTGCTTTTTTTTTTTCTTTGCTAACAGGTGGACAGGCATGTGGATCTCCTGGAGGTTGCTAAAGAAACTGATGGGTTTTCAGGAAGTGACTTGAAAGAAATGTGCCGCGATGCTGCACTGCTGTGTGTCAGGGAATATGTAAATACTGCATGTGAAGACAGGTACTTCTTCTTAATACCACAGAAGACTTGATATCTAGGAGCCAATTTTGCTGTTGGTTTTTTTTTTGTTTTTTTTTACAGGAATGGATTCTCATAGCCTAAACATTGGCTGAACTGTTTGGAAGATTCGGGAGGGGATTCCTTCCTGTTTTCTTACTTTATGTAGCAAGATGGATGTGCTCTTAATTCATGACAAATTTGTATGTCTTGTTGCATCTGGAGAAGTGAGAGTTAAATTAATACCACATACGATGTTGCATAGAATTTTAAATATGCAAATATCCGCTTTAAATTATTTTGAAATACCTCAAAACAATTCTGAAATGGTCAAAAATGCTTTCAAAAATCATTGATTTGAATGTGGGAACAACTATTTCACATTCAAAATTTTGAATGTTTTAGTTGGAATTTGAAGCAAGTTTCATACCTCGAGATCAGAGGTCTCCAACCTTTCTGGACTCGAGGACCAGAAGGAAGGAAAGCAGCTTCAAAATTGGTGCACGTGCACGGGGCCACGCACACTGGCGTGGTGCTAGCAGCCCCATTCATGCATGTGGCATGCACTGGTGCCGTGCACATGCGTGAATGGCCGTGCACCCCCCACAGTGGCCAGTGGCCTGTTCACGCATGCGCAAATGGGCCACTCAAACTGCCTGGGCTAACACCGCATGCGCAAACAGGCTGCAGGCACCCACCCCACACTAGCATTCCCGTTTGCACTTGCATGCATGCGCAAACAGCACTGCAGGCGCTAGCGCGAGTGGGGGAAAATCATGCCCACGCGTGCGCGCACCGGCCAGCCGTTTCTGTGGCCTACTGGCCAAGAGCCCACAGCCCAGTCCCGGGCTGCAGACCATAGGTTGGGGACCCCTGCTCTAGATTATTCCTAAATAGTGCATGATACATAGTACTCTTGTCTCTTTTATTTTATTAACTGTGCTTTTTAACTTTTTCCTGTTTTTTTCTTCCAGCAACGATGATGATGAAATTCGCCCAGTGCAACAAAGGGATTTGCATCGAGCAATCGAGAAGATGAGGAAATCAAGGGATGCAACAAATCAAAATGTTCTGATGCATGTTAGTTTAGATTAATGTTATCCATAGTTTCTTTTGGTGACTGGTAATTTAAATAGTAGAAGTCAATTGAAAACAAAACAAAAAAAAATCCTTTTAATGATTGTTTCTGGAATTGCTTTTATATGCTGATACCTAAGTTATTGAAACCTAGTAATTTTGCAGAATTGGATTCGGTCCGTGTGACAGATCATGACATGGAGGTATATGATCTTGCTTAAACCAATGTCCTTGTTGCAGCCTTAAAAATTTGTTGGTAGATTTTCACATGGCACATGGTTGTTCTGAGAAGGAGCGGAGCCTATGTATATGTATATGAGACGATGTCTGTGTGTATATGATATGTATGTGTATTCACAGGTTTTTATATAGAGACATAATATGTAGAAAACTTGAATGTGAAATCCGTTCATTCTTTTTCTTTTTACTTACTATCTGGATCGAGTTAGATCATGGGGTTAAAATAATAATTGCACAGTTCCCTAATGCATACACATTTTGCTTTTTTGGAGAGTCGGGAGGGGTGTATCTGTAATGGGAAATTCTCATTTCTCCTTTGCATCATAACTGACAGTATGCGCTGGTGCCAATGACCTAAACATAAAAAGTGCTCAAATCTCATGAATCTTCATTTTATATGATCCTACAAATTGTATTTTTTAATATCTTTTTTGTATAATTGAAACTTACCATTGTAGGCAGAACACTGGAAACTACAGGTTGTTAATGTTTTCTTTTATTTCTGAATTGTGAATAATGTCCTTTATTTAATTACTGGACATAAATGTTGCCATTGCTAAATTTGCTCTAAACGTTCTAAGTGGAAATAACAAAAATTCTAACATAAAGGACAGTGGCTTTCAATTTTAGTTAAATTTCTTTCTGTAAGACAGGGATCTTGCAAAGAGTGGGAAATAATATTTTATATTAATTATGAAATAATCATAACGGGAAAGATTGGAATAACAAGATTTATTTTCTTAAATTCATGTACTGTTGTTTTTTCCCCTCCCTGAATTCATATCTGTGTTCTAATTCTAGGTGTACTCATAAGTTTCTTTTCTTTGGGTATAGAACCAAAATATCTTTTACAGATTATATCCTAACTAGAATGGTTTAGGTTTTTTTCTATGTGTCCATTTCAAAATGGAAAATTTGTGGCCAAGGAAAAAACGAATCAGTTACTGTTACATAAAGCAGTTTTTGTCAAATGAAATAATTCTTTTAAAAATCCAACCAAGTCAGCCCATCTTAGAATTTTAGTCCCATTTAAGTGGCTGATCAGAATATTTGGGATTAAGAACTGAGTGGGTAAATGTATATGTGATGATCAAATGCTTTTACATTATGGATGACATTAAATCATAATGGGGATGGGGTGTCATTCCCCAGTTAATTTCCCTTTTATTGCTAAATTAGTCCTATCCAAACCCCTTGTACATATCTGAGGTATATATCTGAAAAGAAGAAAAATACTTGAAAAATATCTATGCTTCTGGATACGCTGCTCCCATCTTTAGCCATACATATAAATACAGCTTGAGATATCAGTAAGTTGACCTTTTAAAGTCATTTACACACATCTCTTTTGCAATATTAAATCCTAGGACAAATTCCTTAGGTAGATTGTGATAAAATATTTGATTTAATTCTTCAATTAAGCCTTTCATATTAATGACCTTTATTGTATTCTGATAGTAATTCTTTGGTCATGTCTCAAATTTTATTCTACTTAATTCCAGCCAAACCTCAAAAGTATAAAATTAATAATTTTATCTGATCACTTCATAAAACTGTATATTTCCAGTGTTTTCTATGACCTATAAATAAATGTCACACAGTGAGTCTCTGTTGTACCTCATGTTCTAAACCTTTATGAATAGCGATGAATAATCTTTTGCCACATCAGCAAAGCTAGATATTAGCTCTTGTGACCAAAATATATTCATTTTAAGATGTATCATTTCACTTCATAATTTTCATAAGCTCAGAATAGCTCCATTTAAGTCTATAGTAGCATAAATCATACTTCATTTCTCTCTGAGTGAAACAGTTTTATCTTTTTTCTATTCCTTTAAGTGCTTTGGTTTATTTGCAAGAGGGAAAATTAAACATTGCTGATTCCAGGTTTGTTTTAAGGACAATGGTTAGGATCCAGAGATCGTAGCAGCACTGGAAATTTCAGCAGATGCTCTTTACGTATGAGTTCTCTCAAGACTTTTTAAACCTTGGTCAATACTTCTGATGTCCTTTGCCATTGTATTTAAAACATGACTTAAAATCTTAAGCTTGTTTGCCTTCTGACTCCCTTATTCCAGCAGTAAGTATTAATTTAATAGGCATAATTTAAACATAGGAAGTAAGAAGCACCTGAAAATATTGAATTAATTTCGCCTCAACTTGTTTAAGAGGAAATAAATTTGAACAATCTGTTTAATTTCTAGAACTATTATTTAGGTATTTATTCCACCAGATCTAGTGCTATATACTAGTAACACTTAGATTTTTATCTCTCTCCTTGGTCACTAAACTCCATTAGCTATCCCAGGACATAGCTATATAGTTTTATAATAAAATATTTATCAGCATTTATAGACTAAAGAGCAGTTTTTCTAAAATTCAGAGGTCCTAATTGTCAAGAATGGAAATTATCTTTCTGTTCTTAATAGTTATGGTCTGATTGTGGTGATGGGAATTCCCACTGAAAGTTCCTTCAAAGGAACAATTTTATTTATGATTTCCAGAGTCTGTAGCGCCAAAAATAACAGTCTTTTGGCATCTTCATAGTTCCATGACATAAATTTGCATATTCAACAGCCCAGTGTTTGCCTTATAAAATTATTTGATTTCCAGATGAAAATATTAGTATATTATTTTTGAAGAAAAAAAAGGGGCTTGTTTATAGGATAAAATTCATGGAAAGTTTCTTGTCTCCTTTGCTCCCCCTACAAAATTTCTCCAAGGGTTGAGGGATGTTTCTAAAGTAAGATAGAATGGATGCAGAAGGTTTTTGGAAGAATTGTACCAAATAAAACAGAAGCTTCCCAGTATTGACTTACTTCCTTTTTTTAAGAGCTGTGATTTCAGCAGAGCGCCTTACTTTATAATAGAGCCATGTTAATGTCATTATGGTACTTTCTTTGTAATTATTCATTATACTTTTAGTTCTTCTGACATTCAGATAAGCATTTACTAAATGTCGATTCTTTGTGCAATCAAGATGGCTTTTGAATAGTTACAAACAATTCATAATATACAGTTGAGAGTTTTTCTTGTGTACTGTTCTAAAATTAAATTCAAGTCCCATCATTGGCTTCATCAGCACTCTTCATATTGTGAAAGAAGAGTTGCCTACCGTTTTCTTCCTTCCATCTTGTAGTTAATATGCTATCTTAGAGCTCCAAGTGAAGGCCCAATGCGTGCAACTACTTTGAAAGTTGGACATAATATATCTGCTAATATTAAGCACACATGATCTCTCTGTGGCGGCTCCAGTTTCTTGTGATTTTGGAGTGGGAGTGGGCTGTTCACTGTTCTGTCATGGACACAAGGTCTGTAGTTGTGGTCTGTACAGTGTTATGGTTGTGTCAGGTTTATATGTCATCCTATTTTACTCATGAGAGTAAAATAGTCCACCAAGAGTTTTGAGACTGAAATCCCAGCAACAAGCTTTGTCATTAGGTATATTTGTTCTTTATTGTCATTACCAGCATCCAGAGCTCCACTGACATAAAAGAGCACAACTGCTGTGTAAAATAATACAGTAATGGGCATAGGGATATGTAAGAGTTCCTTTCTTAAACTTGAAAACCCATTGACAAGGCTGAGCTTGATTAACTTAGGGAATGAAGCAATAAATGTGACACGATCATGGCAAATCATTTCAAACGTGTTTTTTTCTATCTGTTTTTCCACATGGTTTTAAGGATCAAGTATATACATGTATTCTCACTGGAGTGGCTAAATGTAAATGAATTAAAAAAAATTAGCCTATTTATGATTCAGTTTCAGTGTTCATTTATTTTCTGAGAAAATGTTTTGCTGAAGGCAGTATGTTTTTTTTTTTCTATCTAGGAGAGAAATGGGGATTCTGCTGGCTTTCAGGTACCGGATTACAACTCCAGTCATCTCATTTTAGCCATGGTGGCTAAGACTAGAATTAGTTTAATTCAAGATTATGAGCGCTAAATTGTTCTAAGACATCTTTCCCTAACCTGGTATCTCCTAGACTTTAACACCCACAACAACTAGTCTCATCACAGACACACACACACACACTCTTTCCCTTTCCTAATGACTACTTGGACAAGCCTCTGCAGTTTTGGAAGTGGTTTGTCCTTGCAAAACTAGGGCTCCGAGTGACTATTCCAAGGTGCTCTCGGCTGGCCTTGTCCCACAGGTAGGTCTAGAGTTTATGGTCTCCTGGTTTCTGGCCCAATGCTTTTAACCACTAAATCAAACTGGCTCTCAAGTACAGGCATTCCTTGACTTATGACCACAATTGAACCCAAAATTTATGTTGCTAAGTGGGTTTTGACCTTTCTCATCACAGTTAAGTGAATAATTGCAGTGGTTAAATTATTGTTAAGTGAATCTCTTCCCCATTGACTTTGCTGGTCAGAAGGTCACAAAAGCTGATCATGTGACCCCAGGAAACTGCGACTGTCATAAATATGGACCAGTTGCCAAGAATCCGGATTTTGGTTGCATGACCGTGGGGAATGTTGCAATGGTTGTAAGTATGGAAAATGGTCCCAATTCACTTTTTTCAGAGCTGTTGTAACTTTGGTACTAAGTGAACTGTTGTAGGTCGAGGACTACCTGTACATATTCGCTCAATTTGTAAAGAATCACTGATTTTCTCCTGATTTTCTAGCAAGAGCATCTGAATCTCTTTTGCTCTTTATACAAAGTGAATATTCATTTTCCTGATAGACATACTGATGACATTTTTTTTGGATAAAACTTTACTAAACGTATGTAGAACTATTGCAGACTTTCTGTAGCATTATAGCATTTGATGCAATTTGAGGACATTACTACAGATGACAAGCAGGTGTCAGTTTTGGGCTTTACCACATGCACACAAGTGAAAGGAAGAAACATTCAAACAGTGAAATATTTATTGTCACCATAATGAATTTTAGTAATAGAAGGCTAAAATGAGAAGATATTTTTGTCAAGCGATGCAACAGTTAAGGCACACATGTCGGTTTTGGGGTTTGTAATAAATATGCTATAAAATATAGGATGTATTTTTGTAGAAAGAGGTAAAGGCACATACAACATATTTATTTGGACTCTATAGTTCTATAAGGTTAAAAACTTGGAAAAATATTGGCACTATAAACATTTAGATTACAATGGCAAGAAAACATTTACCTTCAAACTCCCTTCCAAAACTTTAGTTTAAAAGGGCTTATGGCTAATGTAGATTAGCCAGCAATGCTGGAACCTTCTATTATTTATACTGGCTATCT